TCACATTTAAGATTTATTTCCACAAGCCGAACGAAGTGCACGAGCCCCTCAAGTTCACATCATTCACAAGACCCGAGATGCTCCTCTGTCAACAAAATAAACAGGAAAAGAAACATTTCCACGTTGCAAAATCACAATAGTTTTCTTGTTTACATTAAGCGAAATGATTCAAAAGGGTGAGTGAGTATATAGTCCAAAGACACAGATGTCTATAAGTAATAAAATTCACACAATAAGGCTATTTACATGTCTGCACGATAATATACTGTGTTGCATAGTTCCATTATTGCTATCATGATTCTGTGTTTCATGTAACACGCAAATAAATCCATTTCCACAGTATACGAGACAAGAATGTTCGTTTTCTTTTTTCGATTAATTGATTGTAATAGGCCTACCACAGCCTGCGTCGATGCATGAGCAGTAGCTATATGCAGTTTGAAATAAATAGAATTGATTTTACAGTATTTTATGATGAAACCAAACGTGCCAATAAAACAAAGCAAAACAATCAGCAACACGCCCTAATTAATTAACAGATTAGTGTAGCTGGCGTCCAACCCCTATGCTCGCTTTTAATTATGGAAACCAGTATTTAATTCGTCCTGGCTCTGGAACGATTGGCTGCGGGGATGTAAGTCATAAGGAAAATGGCTGTCTGGGGAAACGCGGTACATGGAGCCCCGGCCGGGAACGTTACAGTATCTCATCCCGTAATGGCAGTTCTTACTGTACTCGACTTGGTCCTCGTGTTTTTTAAGCGAGAAAATCCCGTTGTAATTAATCGGAGGACTCATTTGGCCTTCGAAGCGAGGGCTGCTGCTCTCCGGAGAGGCGCTGTCGTAATAGGACTCGTAGGACGCGTAATAGTTGTAGGGCCGGAACGGTTTGACGCTGTCCCGGGTCCCAGAGCTGAGGCCGGTGGGCGTGGCCATCTCAGCGGCGTTCGGGTACGGGTACAGAGAATCATACTGAGGCCTGCCCGAGAACGACACGTCCCCGTTGTGATCTGTGAGGAAATTTCTGGAGTTCAGCTGCAAGCAACCCGCGACCAAGTTGGTGGTGGGCTGCGACAAGCCCTTGCACAGGGTCTGCACGAACGCGAGCAGGTCGGGCCTCTTCCCCGCGCTCAGAGTCTCAGACAGAGCCCATATGTAATTCTTGGCCAGCCTCAAAGTCTCGATCTTGGAGAGTTTTTGCGTTTTGGAGTAGCACGGCACGACTTTGCGCAGGCTCTCGAGCGCGTCGTTGAGGCCGTGCATGCGGCTGCGCTCGCGCGCGTTCGCTTCTTGGCGGCGCACTTTGACGCGTTCGCCGCGTCCTTCGGAGAATTTCTTTTTACGCGCGCCTTTCTTCTTCGGGTGGTCGTTCTCCTCGTCCTCTCTCTCCTCCTCCTCCTCCTCTTCCCTGTCCGTGTTGCCGTCCTCTGCCTCCTTGAGCTCGGCGCTATTATTGAGTGTCCGCGCGTCCTCTTGACGCGTGAATGTCGCACCAAACTGAGACTCGCGCATCATGTCTGGGTCTTCAAATGGTACGGTTAGCATCGTCCCTGTGTGACAACAAAAATGAACAACAAAATAAAACAGTTTGACGTCAAATCACCCGGAAGCCTAACTGCCCATGGGTCACTCAAGTATTTTATTTAGCCTACGACAAAATATGGTCTGTTGAAGAGCCTTTTACATTACGTTCTATAACATAGATTATTAGTAAAGCCATAACGAGACTATGTTGGACCAATAAAAATGTTTCAAAATGTGTTTCAGATTTTGATATGTGTCTTTACACCTAAACGGTGTAGTAAATACCTGTCAAGTAAAAAGAGTGCCATTTTTACGCATTTTTACGTGGAACTAATATGATTTGCCATCCCAAAACGTCCTTTGAAATGATCAGTATTTTCATTCAAAACAGTTAACAAATATAAAAGGCTAACAAAAAAATAACAAAAAAAAAAAACACATCAGAATGTGTTGGCCACTCAAATCTATAGGCCTGCGTGATGATTATTTTGTTAGCCTATACATTTTTGAGTGCAAGAGAACTGGAAAATGTTCCAATGTACGCATTATGATCATGAATCAATAGTTAAAAAACATATTCATTTTGTGTTGATGTTTTATGTCAAATCAAATGATAACCTGCTGATTCAGATGATGCATATTTTGTCATTTTAACATTCATTAACGTGATCGCAAATCAATTTACCAGACACAAATTTGTTGTTCTGTAAACGTTTTTCACAAAGATTTACAGCTTCTATTGTCAGCTCAGGAGGGTGGTGGTCATGTATGATAGAGATTTCACTCCTGTAGCTCATTTCTAATTGGCTAATCTGGCGATGTTACTCCCCATGTATTGCCCGACTCAGACAAACAACACTTCAAAATATAGCCAGAACAATCCTGGGTGAACTCAAAACCATGACATTGGGCACATTGCATAACACAAATACGACTGGAGCTAAACGTTCTTTTTTATTATTTAACAATAAACACAACAATAACACATTCATGCCAACACTGAAGCTCTAAATCAGGCTCACCTGTTTCGTTCAGTTTTCAGCTCGCATGTTCAAATTCCTTGCGACGTTCAGAGCTGCCTCCCATGTGCTTGATGTGGAGCTGTATGAATTCCTTTAATCTCCCTCTCCCTCTCTCTCTCTTTCACAGAGAAATGACACCCATGCCAGGCACCAGCGCTGGTACCCATGCCATCTGCCACTGACGTTTTGTTGGTCACATGATGCAGTCTCCAGGGACCTTCATTCCGCTCTCATCATCTGGTGCGCGCGGTAATGGGCACCGGGAGGCTCTCATTTACCGTCAAAAAACTCTGGGTAAAAAAAAAAAAAAGAAAGAAGAGATTAATGCCAGAACTGCTGCGGCAATACCAGTGTAGAAACGACTAAATGATTTAGACTTTAAAGTGAAGCGTGTATTTGATTATGGGGCGACGGATGCTGCAGGCAAGAGCAAATCAGTTGAGATGTCTTCACTGTGCATGTTAGAGTCGTCTGATGGATAATAAATGCTCAGATATTACATCGAATCTCTGCATCTACAGTAAATATGAATAATAGCCCGCGTGCATAGACATGTTAAGGAGCATTCAGTTGGTAAACAGCAAATAATTCATTCATTGTGCTGTCATGATGTGCAATAGGCTATCAAACCCTCAAATATCAAAGCAGAACTGTGACTTTTAGATTGATTGGGAAACTTTTTCTCAGTCATCTCAATTGGAAAAAGTGTCCCTGAATTCACCAAGTTGTCACAATGATTTGTCTCAACTCTAAAAATGCTGGGTTGTTTCAGCCCAAATTTGGGTCAAATATGGACAAACCCAAATGTTGGGTTAAAAATGTAATTAGAAAAATTAGTTGAAAGTGAAAGTTGGGTCAAAATTTTGAATTACATTTTTAATCCAACATTTGGGTTTGTCCATATTTGACCCAAATTTGGGTTGACCCAGAGTGTATGTTTGCAATATTTATTCGGTAAGGTGAAAACAATACACTTTTAAAAAGTGCTGGGTTTTTTTTAATCCAATTTTGGGTAAAATATGGGCAAACCCAGCCATTGGGTTAAAAATGCAATTCAAAAATGTAACCCAATGGCTGGGTTTGTCCATATTTTACCCAAAATTGGGTCAAAACAAGCCAGCATTTTTTAGAGTGTAAAACCACACCATATACTGCTGGAAGTTTTTAACTGTAATGTTGAACAAACTGTTCTACAGGGAAAAGTTCATATTTCCCATCATAGGCAGAATGGGGCAAGTTACTGTACACTCAAAAAATACTGGGTTGTTTTAACCCAATTTTGGGTCAAATATGGACAAACTCAAACATTGGGTTAAAATGTCATTTAAAAATGTAACCCAATGACCCAAAATTGAGTTAAAACAACCCAGCATTTCATTGGCTAAACCTTTTCTTTATTTTTTTCACATTGTAAATGTTACATTTGAATGTTTTTGCTATTTAATTATTTGTTTTGTCTTCCATAATTGTTTTACTATTTTAAAGGTTATACATTCCTTATGAAACCATTATTCAAAAAATAGTATTTATCATAAAAACAGTGTTTGTAAAAGTTCACTCAACCCCCTATTCAACTTTAAACTCATCATGACTTTCCTGAGAAAGGTATACTTAACTGAAACCAATAGCTTTAGTGAACTTTCAAAAAATGAGTTGGCACAACTTAAACCACTGAAGTTGAGTGAACTAAAAAAATGCTTTGCAGTTGGTTGCAGTTGGATATATAATTATTATATTTGACATTTCTGCTGTTTAATGAATTATTATTATTATTATTTTTTTTTGGAGAAGCAATTGCAAAGTTTGTTTGCCACAACTTGCCTCGCTATTGGGTCAACTCAACAAACTGCATTTTTTTTTCATTAAAGGGATAGTTCACTTTGAAATTGATTTTTGGTATGTTTTAGCTTACCTCAAGGGCATCCAAGATGTAGGTGTCTTTGTTTCCGCAGTAGTTTCAATTTTGATATTTTTAGGTCAAACCGTTCTTGTCCGTCAGTCATATAATGGAGGTCTATGGTCACCACCTCAAAGACCATGCACAGAGAAGTCCAGATTAAACATGATTTAATGACTCGTAAATGTAAGTACACATTGACGGCCTAAGACACGAAACGAGCGGTTTGTGTGAGAAAACGAACAGTATTTATATCGCTTTTAGCTCTTTTAACCACAGCCACGTCCAAGTGATCTGAGGGCGCAGGCGCTTTGTGGCTGTGGTTACAAGAGGTAAAAACGATTAAACCGCTCGTTTCGTGTCTTAGGCCATCAATGTGTACTTACATTTACGAGTCATTAAATCATGTTTAATTTGGACTTCTCTGCATGCTCTTTGAGGTGGTGACCATAGACCTCCATTATATGACTGATGAATGGTTGAGTGAATGAAAGCATGCAAAAACCCATATTTTCCTACAGATAAAACATTGTAGTAGCATGGTTTTGTTGGTGTTAGATATTGCTGTGTTAAGTAACTTAGGCCCACGGTGTGTGACAGCTCTGAATCTCTGTAGTGCAGTGTTGCGAGAAGACTGTTAGAAGTGCAGCTGTGTTTAGTTTACGCTTCATCGTCTTTAAATCAAATAGCAGACAAACTATTACTTTTCCAGTAAATATTTCTCTGTGCAGCAGAGGGCAGTCCCCAAAACGGCAACATTTGGACACACACACACACACACGTTCACACTCTGCCCCCCAAAACGCCTCAGCTGGCATTCTGCACGTTCTGGTCCAGTTCACACCAGCATCTGATGAGTCAAACTCCTCATTTCAGACTAATCAGTTGACTGCACTAATTGCAAATGCAAATATGCAAATTTAAATTAATTAATTACTCCACTAATTAGTTCTCTGGTCTTTTCAGGTAATAAATCATTGTTGAAAGAAAGAGATGGAGAGAGAAAGGGGAAATGCATTTATCTGCCACCTACTACTCTTATGATTCACACATTCACACACACTCAATACTCTGAGGAGAAAGTTTGGAAGAATTCCAACGGGAATGACTTTCGGGACTTTCAATCTTATTGACAATTCGAATTCGATTTTTTTGGACGTGGCACCATGCAAGTATATACCATTCAGAAGTTTGGGGTCAGAAAGATTTTCAGAAAGAAATGAACACTTATTAAGCATGAAATTGGTGAAAAGTGCAATTAAAGAATTGTATAATGTTACACTTTTTGAACTTTCTATTGAGCAAAGAATCATGAAAAAAAAATTGTGGATTTCCACAAAAATATGTAGCGGAAAAAGATGAAAAATACTGTATGATTAAAAAAAATCAGCATTAGAGTGATAACAAAAAAAAAAAAACTCTTTGAATGAACATAAAAAAAATCATGGAAAGGATTTCCACATGATCAACATGCTTTATTTCAGCATTATGCAATTCTGTTATTCCAATTTAATGTACTTAGGTTGGGTCAACTTAATTTATTAAGGTTGATTCAACTTATACTATGGTTGGACACAGCTTAATTTAACAGTGTCAGCCCAACTAGTTTTAGATTAACTGATATGATTCAGGTTACATACAGTATATCCATACATCCAATGCAATATAGTTTATTTTAGTGTCACACACTGTAAAAAAATATTGTTGGTTTAACTTAAAAACGTAAGTAACCTGGTTGCCTTAAATTTTTAAGTTCATTGGACTGGAAAAAGTGAGTTAATACAATGAAGGAGATTGATTTAATCATCAGAAACTCAAAATTATATGTTGTCTGAACTAAATAAATTATTTAAGTTGATTTGACAAAAGAAAAAATGTTGTGATTACTACACTGTAAAAAAAAATATTGTTGGTTTAACTTAAAAACGTAAGTAACCTGGGTTGCCTTAAAATTTTAAGTTGATTCAACTGGAAAAAGAGACTTAATACAATGAAAAAGATTAACTTAATCATCAGAAACTCAAAATAATAAGTTATCTCAACTAAATAAATTATTATAAAGTTGATTTGACAAAAGAAAATATGTTGTGATAACAAATCTTGAAAATATTTTTTTTTACAGTTTTTAGACGATAACCATCTATTTACTATACCAGTAGCACTTTTTGGGATCTTTAATGATAAGATTTGTAAGTTGTGTCAAATCAATGTGTCATAACCAAATGCTCATTCTCCTTCACACTGTAATTTCAATGTAATTGAACATTAAACACAACTACGCACTTTTAAGTCTTCCCCTTTTCTCAAAAACACATAAAACGAACGGACAAACGGACACAAACACAAACGGATTAAGTAGCCTAAACTTAAATTTTGCATATATTTAAGCAGATTGAACACAATCAAATTAAGTTTGGACAAAATGTATAGCAATTATGTTGCTCTCTTTTTTTTTTTTTCAGTGAAGGATCATGTGACACTGAAGACTGGAGTAATGATGCTGAAAATACAGCTTTGATCACAGGAATAAATAACATTTTAAAATATATTCACTGTAGAAAACAGCAATTTTAAATGATAACAATATGCAACAATATTACTGTTTTTACTGTCTTTTAAACATATAAAAGCAGCCTTGGTGAGCAAAGGAGATTTTTCTGACCCCAAACTTTTGGCTGGTATTATCAAAATACTACGGTAGCTATTCCATCTGAAACAATTGCATACCGTTAAACCACCCAGTGTTTTTTTTATCAGCTATACCATAGGAGGTGGATGGTAAACCTGAATGATTGCTATTCTTCCACCTGTAAATGAGGCTTTTTGTTGCCACAGCGATGACAGCTCGTGCTCGTCAGCTGTTTTAATTATCACATTATCAGCATTTAAAGGCAGTGTGACGAGCCGAGTTGCTAATGAAGGCGCTGGAACTCTCACAATGAGACGGAGATGAGACAAACCGCCTGACAGAATCACAGGTGACACTGACTGGTGGTCCGACTGAAGCTGCTGGTGGCACAAAAGAAGGATGTGTTAGAGAGAGAAGTGTGTGCCGTATACCTTTCCTTGAGTAAAGCTCTTAAAAATAGAAGTTTCCCCCCGCAGATGTTTCTGGTGTGGCATTAACTAACACCTACACTACTGACAGTGTTGGGGTGCGCCTCACATTTCATAATCACACCTTCACCGTGTTGCAAAACGCAAAAAAGCACCCTGATTTCCACCACACACACATACTGATCGTCGATCA